CGTTGTCATGCAAAAGAATCGGACCCTTTCTTTTGATAAGTGTTGGCTGCAGCTGACAAAATTTTCGGTACATTTCGTCGATTCCTTCACAGTAGGGTTCTGCTGTGATGGTTTGGCCTGGTGATAAAAAGTTATAGTGGATCACACCAGCCGATGACCAAACCGTGACCAGAATCTTTTTTTCGTGAGGGTTCGGCTGAAAATTACCTCGGTGGTTCGTCGGAATCCAACCACTGTCCGGAACGTCTCCTGTTATCATACATGATCCATGACCATCACATTGTGCATTACTTTTGGTGAAGATTCGGCTTTTTAAATTGTCTCGGTGGTTCTTCGGCGTCCAAATACTGTCCGTAACGTTTCCTGTTATCATACATGATCCATTTTTCATCACAGGTGACAATTCGGTTCAAAACGGTCGTTTCTGTTGCGCAAAAGCAGTGAAGAGGAAACCGCGAGACGTGCCAATTTCTGCCGGTCACTCAAATTGTGGGGCACCCACTTATCGAGTTTTTCACCTTCCCAATGCGTTTCAGACCATCTGCAACACTGGATTTGCCAACGCCTAGCTTTTCTGCAATCTCTCGAACTGTTTGGGATGGGTCAGCCTCCAAAATCCCCTTAAAATCCTCGTCAGATATTGCTTTAGGTCGACCGCTATGAGGTTCATCTTCAAGGCTGAAATCTCCAGAACGAAATTTGTTGAGCCATTGCCGCACAGTGCTTTCTCTAGCACTATTGGGCCCCCACACCTGGTTAATTGTTGAGCTGTTTCGATTGCGGATTGCCCCAATTTATAGTCGAAGAAAAAAATCGTCCGAAGTGCTCTTTTCACATGCTTGAAAAATCTTAAAAAAGGGGTTTATCAAGCAATGGTGAAACGGCAGTTAAAGCATCAGAAGGCAGTTAAAGCATTAGCGCAAAGAATTCTCTTCAGGATGTACTACTGAGACGCAAGGGAGAGTGAGTTTTTAATCAGCAATGAATGTTCAAAAAATAGTAACACAAAACGTGCAGAACTTTCCGGACAACCTTAATACTAATCGCAGTCTTCACTTTGACGGAGGCTGTCTCCATACCCTGACAATGAGGGTCGCATTCTAAACTTAGTCGCAGTGGCTTGAATTCTAGATAACATAGGGTTGAGAGCTAAGTGTTGTGAATCTTCAACCTCGATGTTGCAATCAACCTTCAGCATCAGAGTACGTCCCGCTGTTGGAGAAAGTTTCTGCGAAGTACGATCCCCTCTCCCGCAATCTTCCCTGATCACGTACACTCCTTTCCTCGACTTGCCTGCCATCTTCCAAATTTCCCAACTTTTTATCATTTTCCGGACTTGTTTTCTCCAAAAATTCTCCTCTTTTTTCCCAAAGGACTGCCGTCACGGGAGCAGAAGGGAGGAATACACTCTTGAAACAGTAAAAACCTAGAAATCCAGCAAATGAAAACATTTCTGTCGAAGCAAGCACGATCTTCCTCCATTAAGTGACCTAAGATGACCCCTCCTCGTAGGAGAACTACATGCCCTGGCTATCATGCGATCAACTCCCATTCAAGAGAAGGGATGCGGTTTCCTTGCTTTCAGGCGTAGCCTTCAGAGATCAGTCAACACTCTAAATAGCCCTACGCATCATGCGTGATGAACTTCACTCAATGTGTGCATAACATAATCAGTTTATGTCCTTTCTATGATGGTGAGCGATTTTCCGGTAATTATTCCCTTCGTCGGAATGTTTTCAATGATATCTAGTTTTGTATATGCAGCAATGTTGATTAGTTCTCTTTAAACCGGTAAGGCAGGTAAGGCAGTGCATGGCGATAGGGACTACCAATATCCTTATGCTTCTTCACTTCTGTGTGAGAAATCAGTCATTGTGCTATAACCCATACAGAAGGTGGAGCTGTCACGGGTAGAGAGCACCCTGAGACCTGAAAAGCGTCTATTTAAAAAATCGGCTCATTCGGTGTTTACTGCTTGGAAGTGTCCAAGATACGGCAAAAGCGCTCAGTGTTTGAGAATAGTCAAGGCGCCAACTGACAGGTGGAACTTTGATGACTATGTGATCCCTACGTCATATCACCTGCCCTGAAACATCGTGATCCTGTATAAAGCAGCTCAGGCAGAACCTTGTTGTCTCAGAAGTTTTGCGTTGATCATTAATTGCCGGAAAATTGTGATCAAATAGCCATATATCCATCTGGTTTGCAAATTTCCTTTTTTTGACAAGTTGTAGGGTTTAAGTTCTTGAGCCACTCTTTCGCTCAACTAATCTGCCACGTTGTTGTTTCTCTTTATTGAGGATTTTGAAGCACTGGCGTAGGAACGGTGTTAAACCTCTTGCTGTAATCTCTCACAGGACCGGAAAAACCATTGGTATTTTGTACATATCTACATAGGTTCTCCTTGCCATAGTATCAGATTCACAATTCCTGACAACGGGTCTTTTCTTGATCCCGTTTTCAGGAATCTTCTCTTTCTCCCACTTGCCAGAAATGATCAGCTATGA